TATTAATATTATATAAGTGACTTGAAGTTAAAAAACTCGTCTGCCATATAAACCACCAATACCAACCGTAAGTTGTTGCTGGTGTAGTAGGTCTGCAAGCTAATAATGGAACGTCTACTGTTGTTTCAAAACATGGGACAGTGCTATGCGCAGATGTTGCTTCTTGTAGGCTTGAAGATAAATGTGTGCATCCCCTTTTATGGTCATCAGGTTTACTGGGCAATAATACTGAAGGAATTATACCAGGTTTGAGTCGAAGACATCCTCCCAATTTTTTGGCATTTATATCAATATAATCATCGGGTTTGAAATGTTGGGAACATAAATATGTATTAGAAACGTCATCATTTTCCTTATCTAACTGACATGCATTCATCCATGACTCTCTTATTTGTGGGTTAGAAGGAAACCTGAAACAAGTTAAATTTTGAATTAATCTAATGACAGGATGTAGCAAAGCTTTGAATATAGATATTTTAAAAAATACACACTTATGGTATACGATTTCACATGGAACATTTCCTTCGCATAGAAGACAAAACCTTGATGGAGTTTTTCGTTTCGGCATTTTGAGCTACCTATAAAATTAAAATAATACGATTGAATTATAATACATATAATATAATTCTCTTATACCTACCTACTTAAATTTACAAAATGTTCTTATACCTGCACTTTCAGTTGCACTAAATGTCTCTAATCTATAAATAAAACTAAAACTATAAATTGCACTAAAAACAATTCTGAAATCGCCAACACTACAAAACACACATAAACTACAAAAGATTAAAAGATATAAATGCTAACAAAGAATCTGCGACAAAGCTACAATCCGAACAACATAACCACAAACGCAAAAGTCAGTCTTTTCTTTTGTCTATTTTTCTCTCCTTCTTCCCCTTAGCGCCAAATTCAAATTCTTGGATTAGATTGGACATAATACTTGGGCATGCGCAAACGAGTGTTTGTCCATGAAAGAGAACGAAATATATAATATCATCTCATAACCCGGCTTCAACAACAACTCGAATGGCGCAATATAGTAGTATTACATATATGATTGAACCAAAGAATCATAACCAAACATCAACAGAACCTAGAGGCACACAGAGCAAAACAATCCAGATAACCATGGAACAAATAAATAATGGAATTTAGAAAAAGAGGGAAACAGTAAATAAGGCGCTAAATTTTGAAAAATAATTATTACAAGTTAGATTCACTAACGTCATTAATAGATGAATTATTATTGTTAATACTTAACAAATACGTGAACATTATACTTAAGTTATCAATGTCAGAACGTCTATTCATACTATTTTATTTCTTTTAAAATCATTAATCTTTTAAAAACATTATTTTCTGAAAATTTTATACTAACTTCATTCAAATCAATATCATGTTTACAATTATTTGTATGATTTGACAACATACAAGAATTTTTATTGAGGCTAATGTCACTCTTATGTGAAACAATTATGTCTTTAAGCCTCTTACCCGTTTGCCCAATATACACTTTTTGACAATATTTACAAGGAATACTATACACTACATTAGATTTATGTAATAAAGGAACTGCATCCTTAAGATTAGAAAAAATATTTTTAATAATTAACTTGTTCGTAAAAGCTAGTCGAAAGTCATTCATATCGGAGAAAATGTTTTTTAATTTCCAAGTTATAGACTCTATATAAGGTAATGAAAAATATGAAAAATTAGATGGAATTGAATTATGATTAACAACATCTCTATGGGGAGCACTGCCTGACCCACCATCAGGAACGGAATGCGAAGAGAAAGAACTTGTAAATCATTATCTCTATTAAAAAGAACTTTGTTAACAAGCCTTCTTGGGTAACCACATTTGAAGAACAATTGAGCGAATTTTCTCAGGTTTTCCATCGTTTTTGAACGATGTGAAGTACGTAAGACCCTATTTTTCATCCCTAATAATAAATTAATTTTTTGTTTCATGGGATGGTACGACGCAAAATGCAAGAATCGTCCTGATGCCCCCGGTTTTGTATACCACGATGTGTAAAGAATATTGTTTTCAGCTCTGAAAATTTTAGTATCTAGAAACGAAACACTTTTGTTCTCGTCTTTTTCTCCCACAGTAAATTGGATGAAAGGTGAAAAGATGAACTAATAAAATTTTGTAAAAGTTTGAATAGACGCAGACACAACCCGTTGAAGTACGGTATACAATCAGAATCAGATAAAATGTTATCTGCAAGTCCTATATACTCATGTCTATACATGAGAGTCGATAACCATGAGATCTGTATGGTCTTTCTAAAATTTTTTCAAACTAAATCTAATAGTTTAATTTCGACATTAGAAAAAAGGAATATGATCTCCAGAGATGATGGTAAAAGCTATCGTAATTACAATAGTGTTATTAATAAATTTTACGGCTTGCCGAAGGTACACAAACCTCAATTAGCACTTCGACCTATCATCTCGGGTATCCATAGTCCCAATAGAGGCGTTGCTGAACTTGTCACCAACTTTTTGACCATGTCTTATAACAAGGATAATCCCTTTTTCACTCTTGACTCTTTTCATTTCAGTAACTTTATCAATGACTAGATTACCGGACGACTTGTTGTAATAAGTTTAGATGTTGTTTCTTTGTTTAGTAATGTCTCTATTAGTTTGGCTAGGGATTCTATACGACGTTATTGGAATCAAATTAACGTTAATTGCATTATTACTTTACAATGTTTTTTGAAACTAGTCGAATTTCTTTTTGATTCTACAGTGTTTTCATTTAATAATCAAATTTATAAACAAATTTTGGGTATGCCTATGGGTAACCCTGTCTCACCTATATTAGCTCAGTATGTGATGGATGACCTACTTGCTGAATGTAGTAATCGTTTGAATTTTGAAATTCCGTTTATTAAAAAATATGTTGATATTATACTTAGTGGTCCCTTGGGTAGCATACATACAACAGGTTTTACAAATTTTTAATAGTTATAGCCCTTTCAGCCAATTTGCTGTGGAAGAAGAAGAAGACGAGAACAAAAGTGTTCCGTTTCTAGATACTAAAGTTTTCAGAGCTGAAAACAATATTCTTTACACATCGTGGTATACAAAACCGGGGGCATCAGGACGATTCTTGCATTTTGCATCGTACCATCCCATGAAACAAAAAATTAATTTATTATTAGAGATGAAAAATAGGGTCTTACGTACTTCACATCGTTCAAAAACGATGGAAAACCTGAGAAAATTCGCTCAATTGTTCTTCAAATGTGGTTACCCAAGAAGGCTTGTTAACAAAGTTCTTTTTAATAGAGATAATGATTTACAAGTTCTTTCTCTTCGCATTCCGTTCCTGATGGTGGGTCAGGCAGTGCTCCCCATAGAGATGTTGTTAATCATAATTCAATTCCATCTAATTTTTCATATTTTTCATTACCTTATATAGAGTCTATAACTTGGAAATTAAAAAACAATTTCTCCGATATGAATGACGTTCGACTAGCTTTTTCGAACAAGTTAATTATTAAAAATATTTTTTCTAATCTTAAGGATGAAGTTCCTTTATTACATAAATCTAATGTAGTGTATAGTATTCCTTGTAAAGATTGTCAAAAAGTGTATATTGGGCAAACGGGTAGGAGGCTTAAGGACAAAATTGTTTCACATAAGAGTGTCATTAGACTCAATAAAAATTCTTGTATGTTGTCAAACCATACAAATAATTGTAAACATGATATTGATTTGAACGAAGTTAGTATAAAATTTTCAGAAAATAATGTTTTTAAAAGAAATTTCCTTGAGATGTGCAGCATCTTTCAATGTGAGAATAGTATGAATAAACGTTCTGACATTGATAAAATAAGTATCATGTTCACGTATTTGTTAAGTATTAATAATAATAAGTGAAATTTGTCATGATATGTAGGCTGATAAAGCTTTTTCTAGACGAGTATTTTTTTATTGCCCTCGTCCTATTATAAGACGTTGAACCCTGCACTTTTTTTATTAGATTCTTTTTTAAGTACATTTTTTCTATAAAAAATCTTTTTAACGCTTATTAGGAATATTCTTGCCTCTTTGATTTTTTTTTCATCCAGTAGAAAATTATGGGAAACTACTATGTGCAAAATCAAATGAGATTGAAATGAAGACTATATACGTGTATGATCCTGAACTTATTTTTTTTTTAATTAAATAAAACTTTACCTTTTAAGGCCACTGGCCCCTTGCTAAATAAGAATAATAAAAGTTTTTAAGGCTACGTGCACTTACTTATCGTAATAAAAGATATAATTTCTCATGTGCCAAATTAATGTAAATGTACCATAACTAGTATTTCTTTATGCATAATAAACGGTGTAAGAAACGTCTATTCAGTGTGAGCGAGACAGAGATTTTTAGCTATCAATAAACATTTTTACGAATACGAATTTATGAAATACTTTATTATTTCTAATTAGTATTGCTAATAGTAGTAAAAAATTGTTGGATATTTTATGCGGTATTGACTTTTATACTGTTATGACTTCATCCAATAGATATTTTGAAAGCGTTCAGAGTCGTACTCAGGAAAAATTTTAAATTATAGCTAAAACAAGCTAAAAACTTTTTAAGCGATTACTATAGTAATATCCTCTAATTCAGAATTAAAAATGACTAGATTTTGTCATAAAAATAGCAGCGCGTATTTAAAAAAAATAACGCGATGATGGCCCCTCGAAGACGAAACGTCGGATTGCAAAAATGTTGACTCCATTGTATAGAGCGAAAAAAGTGGCATTGTAAATATGTAATTTATTTTAAAATACGTTTTCAAATAAAGCCAGAAAAAATTAAACAATTTTGCAAAGTTTCGGGATTTTCCGGATATCTCCGAAACTACCCGGAATTTTAAAACTTTCTAAACAGCATATTGTTAGGTATAAAAAAACACAACTTTTTTCTAATCTGAGCCACCCTGTATCTCTTACCGTTTCTTAGATACTAATGCCTATCCCATCCTTATCTTGGACACACCGTATATCTATAAATACATCAAACTTTAAACAAAATAAGTAGGTACACTAATTGATCCTAGGGAAAAAAAATTATTATTTATTTTATTTATTCACTATTCGACTTAGGTTTATAGCATTACTGTACAAAAATATTTTTTTTTTGTATTTTTTCCGTATGGTGTGATCAGTTTTTGATTTTTTTTTTAAATTTAAATAAATTATCAACAATTACTGAAAAATTCATTGCTGCAAGTCATTTTTTTTACATTTTTGAGCATGTTTTTAAACTGATTTAAAATTTTTTTATTTCCCCAAAAAGTATGTCAAAACGAAAAAAAATTATTACCGGCAGAACTCTGTACGATGATTTTTTTAAGTAAACTTCTTGATTTTTTTATCTAAAAAATTTGTAGGTTATTTAAGATAGAAAAAGGTACACTTTCACCAAGTTTCGTGAAAATTAAATTATTTTTGCGGATATGAGAAATAAAAAAAGAAAAATCAGAAAAAAACCTGTTTTTCGCATTTTTCTCGGAAATTTGGACCCCGCAATAATCTTATTGAAATTGGGTTTCTGTCAAATTGTCTGAATTTTTGATATGTTGTAGATTTTGTCATCCTGAACAAAAGTCTCCATGGGCACAAAGTGCCAAAATGAACATTTTGGCAGCTACGGAGCTGCCAAAGCTCCCCTGACCCGTTGCAAAACTATTCATTTTCAATACTATTTACAGATGTCAAAAGCATATTTTAATTATTCTAATATATAGGGTAATGTTTTTGAGGTCACTGGATTCAACCCTCATGTCAGATTGGACAAATTGACCGTTGACAGCTGTCAATACACTGTCAACGAACAATAGAAAAGTAAATATTCTCTTTTCACATTGAGAGTTTGGGCTTTTGAGGGAGCTGAATTCAATTCTCATGCCAGATTGGCTCAATGTGAAAAGAGAATATTTACTTTTCTATTCT